TCGTTTCGTAAAAGTAGTTCGTTTCACACTGATTTTTACTCTTGCACTCATTTCAAAAAAAAAAAATAGAAAACAAAAGCTATAAAACCGTCCGTGACAACCTATCAACCTACTAAACAGTACGGTGCAAGCTTTTATTTTATTACATACACTGAACAACGGGTCGTATGAAAGCTCTCTTTTTCTAATATGGTCACTAGAGTAAATAAGTTTAAATGAGAAAATATCGATTTTTAGCGCTTAAACTTTTTTTGAAGACTATTTTTTTAGATAAATAAGATACCGAAGATAAATATTTAAAGCAAAGTTTTAAAACTACGCTACACTCTGCTATGCTATGCAAACAATGCCAACACCCTAAATTTAAGTTTGTTATGTGCAATAGGATAGTCAATTACTATTTTAATAATATTTCGCTCTAATGTGTCAATTCTATGTTATGTAGGAGCGCATACACGTATTTTTATTTTTTTTTTTTTTTTTTTTAGTATACATTTTATCTTTATACCTTGTATCACTTGTGATACAAGAGTATATTAAGCTTTTCGGATGCATGCAATCGCCGGAAGGCGAAGGACTGGAGATAAAATCACTTTTGTTTTACAGATCAGTTTAGAATCATTTTCTAAATCGATTAAAATTTGTTTGTCCGTCTGTCCATCTGTCCGCCAGTTCGTTTTGTTTTCTTATATCGCAGTTACCAACGGAAGGACGAACGTTGTTGAAAATTGTTCGGATCGGACCACTTTTTAACCACTTTCAATACACGACATTGTTTTGCAAAGTCAAACAAAAACGATTTGTAAAAGTTCACCTTTATACTTCTTATAGAAAGTTCATCAAATTGTCAACATGGAGCATTCCCGGCGTCATAAGTAATCTTTGTATTCCCGTCGCCGCTTGCTTTAACTGCGGCATCCTCCGAATGACAGCTCATAAGATAGAAAGCTAACATTAATTATTTTTTTATTTTAAAAATGATTTTACAATTTGCTCGTAAGTGCATATGTGAGAAATTTAAACGAAAGCCCAGCTAGAAGCACTTGAAATAGATCCACCTTTTATTATACTGATCGATACAGAATCACTTTCCGAACCGATTTATGGTTGTCTGTCCGTCCGAGTGTTTTCTTATGTTTGTTCTACAGGACGAAATTTCTAAATATCCTGATAAAATTTCATACACCAACGTGTTTTGACCCAAGAAAAACTGCTATTGAAAATGATTGAATCGGCCACGTCCCATATACCGCCTTATTCTTAAGAGCCGTTACTTGAATAACGGTATTGCGGGAATTATTGTAGGGCCTTTAGTGGTTCGTAGTAGCAAGCTGTAATATTTCTACTTGATTATGTCTACTCGTATTATAAGTACATACGGCTGAATTCTCTTAAGGTCTTTTATTTGTTTTGAATAACTGATGAATGAAAAAAACAAGAAAAATCACTAAATCTAACATAAAAACCACAAAACTAATAATAATTTTTAAACATTCGATTTTTCGTTTTGATGCTCGGAACATTCAAGCGTTAAATTGTTCGATTTTTATTATGCTTGCTAATCATTAAAGCGTTTTTCTCGTCTGCAACGTTGACTATATGAAAGTATGCCTGCCGATGCCTGCTTATTGTTTTTGTTTAGGCATCAATTTAAGAGAACTCGAGAGAAAAGGAAAATGTGAAAACATCTGTCTATGAATGTGAATATACTTTTGCATATATGAATATATATATATGTATTATATGAAAATGCTTTCGAATATTATGCCTTACGTAGAGAAGAGGATCTACAGGTAGCTGGAAATGTTTCATAGTTTAGTAAACAAAAATATTCACATATAATAAGCAACTTTTCAATGATTATTTTTTTTTTCATTTTTTGCTTCGACTATTCACAATTACAATATTTTTTCTTTTATAATTCGCACAGCTCGGCAAACGCATTTTTAAAACTATATGCACTCAAGCTCCATAAATTAACTAAACAAGCTTTTGACTTTTCTGCATTGAGTTTCCTTCGAGCATATCCCAGTATAAGACATCTATTTTCACCTTAAGGCGAATCTCAAGTATACCTTACCATTCTTTTTAGCTTCTTCAAAAACATTTTAAACTCATCTCAATAAAATATTTTTAAATCTTTCTAATAAACTCTAACGTGAAATTTTACTGTTATGCTTAAAATTTATTTGCTAATATTCCGACATACATCTTGAAAAAAAACTGTTGAAGTTTTACGAAAATGCAAAAAAATTGTAATTAGTTCTCTGGAAATACAAAAAAAAAAACTGTTGAAGTGCAAAATAAGTAAAAAGACTATAATGAATGGTCGATTAAGTAAGAATCGTGACTACCAAGCGATTGTTTGAGGATTCAAATCTCGAGTTGAGCTTGCCTCCCACGTAGCTATAGTGAGTACTCAGTCGGCAAAGTCATAATACTCAAAGATTAGGCATTTACCTAGGATTCGGCCGCCACTTTGCTATTTCTTTCTTCCTTTCTCTTTCCTCACTTTGAGAAAAGGTCTGTAAATATGAAGCCGGAATTTACTCATAATCGAACATGAAGGATATACAAGTCGTCGCAACACCAAGACCTATCACAATACCAAAGTGCTTTCGATGACAACGCAAATGTCTTGTTTTGTGTCATATCATGAGTATTCGCGGACAGCATTCCTATCTTCGCTCGAACAATGCAAAGGAAACTATTTTTTGCTTCGTATCCCAACCGGGGATGGAAAGTGGATGCGCTTTAAGATTCCCAGGGATAAAAATTCAAAGGTTGATCTAGACAGCGGGTCTGAATCGCTTTGACAACAAGACGATATTCTGTGTTTGATACGAGCAGAAAATGAATAATGACAATCGCTGTCAACAACAACTAACCGTTTTAAATGATTTGCTGCACAATATTTCACGGATATCATTTTTTCACATCCATCCATACAGCCAGACTGGCGTTCTAAACACTCCCTACAGAAGCGGTTATACTTGTGGCTTATTTTTCAAACTCAAGTTCTTCCGCTTACCAATCGTTTTCACCGATGGGGCGTACATTCTTGTAAAACTTGTTCCAAAAAGGTGCGATGACCGGTTTATCTCAAAAGTGCAACGGTTTTTTTAGCGTGGCAAGTGCAGCGCTGTCCAATAAGGCTGTCGGTTGGTACAATTGTCTTCTCATTAAAAGTGCTGCCAACTTACCAAGTGATGGCATCTTTTTGGTGTTTAAACACTCGCTGTAGGCGATGTACCATACAATGTACAATGCTTACGAGCGATATTCAATCTCGCAATTAATTATCGCACTTTTTAGCAAGCAATTGATCTGAAAACATTTGCTCCAAGATTGATTAAACTTAGCTTACGCTATTATGAACGAAGAAGTGTACTTCTCAGACCTGATGTTTTAAAATTCAGGCAGAATATATTTTTATATCTATATACTTAAAACTCCCCCCTTACAGTATTTGCGGACAAAGAACAGAAAGACGCAGAGAATTACGTTTGATAAGATCCTTTATGCGAATTTTTCGAATCTAGCGTTATAAAGTATTACACCAACAACCATTACCATTTGGTATGCAAAAGTAAAAGTCGCTGCTTTTTGCCATGCGCACCTTGTGTTTTTATTATAACAACGATATGTGAAAAGAAATCAAAGCTAGGGAGCTGGAGATTACTAAATTAATATGCTTTACACTAATGATACAAAAAAAAAGAAAAAGATATTTAGGGGGACGAAATGGAATAGATACGAACGATATGCAGACGCATAAAGCCAATGAGAATCAATAACAGCGGAAATAAGACGAAAGCAAAAGGGTGGAAGGGAAGAGTGTAAGGATACATATTACATTTTCTGATAATACCCTCACAAAAATTCTGCTCGCAGTTAAGTCTCATACTATCCCTCAAGCAAGCAAGCATTTGACATTTGGATTTTAAAGCACCACTAAAACAGACCATCATAGCACCCTTCCAAATATTCGTATTTAAAGCGAGACTTAAACGTGCAAGTGCTTGAAATTTCTTCAAGAAAAGCTTTTCCATGTAGTTTCCATGTAGTTTTTGCGCCGGGAATAAACATTGTCAACTAAACTCGACGTATGCATCTGTATGTAATTTTGAAGAAAAGCTGAAACGGAATCTGACATATGCCGAGAGGGATCTTAAACACAAACCAAACAAAAGTGGAATAATGGAATGGAACAACCATATATTATACTATACTATAGTTACAATCTGTAAGAAGTAATTAAATTCTGTTAATATAAGCCGTGCTGCTAGTAACATTTGTTAGTATAAATGAAATTAATTGAAGCTTTGAGTATTTTAAAAGCAAACAAACAAAAGCTTTCGAATAATATTTTTTTATTCCCTTTGCTTTAACAACTCACGCTCGCTACTCTCAATGTATGATATTTGTAAATATATAAAACACAAAAAGCCAACAATTTCTGTGTGTTGTGCTGTTTTGACTGATAACATTTGAGCGCACACATCTTTGCGTATATATGTAGAACAAGCAATATGTACTATATGAGAATGTTGTTGTTTGTTTTGCGTGAGCTGTTCTGAGTTGACGATAAGGCGAACAAAAAAATGTTCGTTGGAAGTTGCTCGTATGTCGTGCGATGAAAAGGTGCTTCGTCTTATTTTCACAAACACACATACGCACTCAAATGTATGCACTGCAAACTGTAAACATCTATTTGACTGTGTGTACGTGTGGTGACCAAATCTATACATTTACACATATACATATAAAAATGTATTATTACGAGCAGATAGGTGCTGCTGTTTGTGTTCTGTGCTTTGTATGTTTTGTTTAGTTGCTTTAGTTGCTTTATAGTTGCGTTACGGAAAACAATTATTGTAGTGAATGACGGCCGGGTATTCATTATATACATAGTTCTGCGATACGGTCATGAACTGAAAAAATATTTAGTTTACTTCTATTGTATGTACCTGAACGCACACATGTAAAATGTGTTAAATAAACAAGAGTTTTTTTTTTTTTTTTTTTTGAAAGTTTGTGAGACATTGTACTAAAAGATCAAACAAAGCAAACAAAACGACGACATTTTTGAATGGAAATTCTGAGAACAGAAAGAGGCAACACTTTTCTTTTATTGGTAAAAAGGGCGATATTATAAAAAAAACGGTTCATTTTAGTGTATTTTTATTCAATGTGAAGTTAACGGAAACAGAGAAAATCATCGCATTTAGGCAACAATATATGTGTGTACATACACGACGCAGTACCAACAAATACGACAACAAATTTCAAACAATATATATATATATATATATATATATACATATATGTGGGGCATGTGGGTAAAGATTTAAAATACACACATCATCAAACCTAATCGTGTGGTAGAACGAAATAACAACAATATACAAAATGTAATGATAAAAAAAAGCAACAACAATACAAAGCAATCTTAACAGTGGCTATTCTGACAAACGACAAATGTAGATACATATGTGCACACGTACATATTTTATGTATATATATGAATATGTTTTATTATTTTTCTTTTATTATTGTAATTGCGATCCTATGTTAATAGAAATTATTATTTCAAAATGAAAAAAATCTATTTACAACACAAACATGTGCACATAATTTACTTCAAAACTTAAATCGAAATAGAAATGTGTTTAAAAGCCTTTACGATAAACAGAGACAAAACAAAACAACAACTCAATAATAGCTATAAACACTAGAGAACACAAAACAATACACATATCAATGCAGTAATTCGAACACCCTGCCAACCCGCCAAATAATAATATTCATGAAAATACTATATTAAATTTAATGTGTGTGTATGGCGTAACCACAAGCAAATATCATATCATCACAATAGTAATGCAATAACAGCAACAACAACAACAATTTCAATAACGTCCGTCCCTTGAACAAAACAATAGTGACTGTTATTTGTCAGATATACCAGCCAGCTACTTTGATAACACAAAAGTTTTACAATGTGCAAAAAAGCTTTCCGACGAAACATGTTCAAAAATCTAAAAACAAACAACGAAAAAGCTAATTTTGTTATATTAGCAAATATATATATATATATGTAAATAAATATATATTTATGCATACATGTATATATATATATATATTTATACTACATACGTACACTTAAAAAAATGAATCTTAGAATTTGTTTTATATTTTTTAACGATTTTTGCTTAATTTATCTAGCAATGAAAATTTTAAACAGCCAAATTTTATTTAACCACATCAGAGTTTTCGGGGCAAGGACAATTATAAATCTAATTTAAAGCTGGAGTAAAATGGAAACGACATTAGACATATGTATTTTAAATTTGAAAAAAGCTTTTCATTGTTTCAGATAAATTTTCATTTTGTTGTGTTTTTTTTTCTTACCGACATGTATCTTTTATGCATATTGTGAACTGAATTGTATATTTATTTTGTATATGGGAATATAAGATATCCTGAAAATTGTTGTGAATTACATTGACACGTATTTTGGTGGGAAATTCGAATACATTCATGTTACAATTTGAAGTGAAAGTCGTGCATGCGACTAATCCAAGTTCGATCAAGTTTGAAAGCTTGATCAGGTTGCGCAGATACTCAATATTCAATAGATACGTTAAAAATTCATGTAAATGAACAAATCCGTGTGAAAATCCATGTGTGCGACTAATCCATGTTTGATCATGTTTGAAAGCTCGATGAGACTGCCTAGAAACTCGATTTTCAATATATACGATATATTCGATATAAACAAGAGTACAAGAGTATATTCATCGAACGTTTAAAATTCATCGAACTTGCACTTCTCGCATGACTCTTTATTTGGACTTGTTGCATGCACATGACTTTTTACTTGGTTCTGTTGCAAGCATAAATTTTTAATTAAGACTCTAATAAACAGAACACAAACAAGAAAGTAAACAAATAAAGATAATAAATACAGTTGAAAGGCAAATATGATGAGAAAGGAAAAATTTGTGCTCTGGCATTGCAACCGTAGTTCGCTAACGAAAGAATTTGAGCCAAATCAAGTCTATATTGTATACGATGTCTACAGTGCTTATACTTCTAACTAACAAAATTGGTATATAACCATCTCTTGATAGTTGGAAGTATAAAGATGTGATATATTTATTGTCACAAAAAAAATAAAACTATTATTTTCGAAACATTCTGAAAGTAATAAAATAAGAAATGAATTAAGATTTTAAAAGACTTTTACTTAATTACATTAGTCGCGTCAGATAATTGTTAATAAATTGAATATATTCGCTAGATGCAACAAATATATTGGGGACTATTGAATTATAAAGTGGAAAATAATGTACCGTTTCAATAAAATCTGATTGATAGCAAAACAAATTGTAAATTTCCATTGATTTGCAATCTGGCAACGCTATTATTTCATAATATTTTAGTAAACAAAATATAAAACAAAAATTAGAGAAAATACAGAGAAAGTGCTTTCATGTTATTTACTCATACCATGATAATAAAAGCGCGCCCTTTTCGGTGCATTATTAAAACAATCAGAGAATCAGAGCTTTATGCTTTTTTTTCTGTATTGGTGTGTTTGTTTGCTTTGTTAACATATTAAATAACAATAAAATTACGATATGCGAAGGTGTAAATAAAAAAGATTGCGTTAAGCAGAAAAAAATAATTGAACGAGCTCACACATACAATAGAGAATACAAATCAAAATTGCTTTGCAATAATTAACAATTGAAACTTTTTTTTTAACATAATTATAATCCACGAAAAGTTTAGACCACAATTTATTACAATGACTACGAATACGTCGTGCGTTTTACGATCAGTTAACAACAAAGCGAAAACCAATCATAAAAACAACTCAAACGCTGATTCCAACGATAATGATATAAAGCCGAATATGCCATTGTCAAGTCCAAATGGCCTAAATAATTCATTGTCACTTTCCCCAAGCACTGATACATCCGTTAAGGCCATTGCTAATGCTATTAATTCTTCTGCTAATAGTCGAGGCGCCATAACAATTATCCCGATTGTTAATGCAACCGCCGGTTCGACCACTCAAAACTTTGCGAATCGAACTATGCAAACCGATGAAGACTTCAATATACGCTTTGTCAATCTTGTGCGTACGCACAAGTGCTTATATGACAAGAAAGTTCCCGAATATCGTAATCGTGATAATCAGGAAAAAGCCTGGTTGCAGATCTCATTAGAAACGAAAGAAAGCGGTAAGCACAAAGTTCTTCAAGTTTGCAAAACTTTCTAAGCTTAAGAGAATGTTGCGATTTATTTCTGATAAACTGAATTTGAGAGAGAGAGAGAGAGAGAGAGAGAGATGGAAAAGTAATAATAGTTGTTCTTCTTGTTCTTTTTTATAAATAGTAATTCACTGTAAGGAACGTTGGCGCAATTTACGAGCATGTTTATCACGCTATATCAAGCAGCAATGCGGTTCAGATCCTCAACATAAGCCCTACTACCTAACCGAGCACATGGCATTTTTGTTGCCCTTTCTCAAATCTACAAGAAACTCGATAGATGCGAACAGTAGTTTAGCATCTTTATATGAGTACTCTCAACAGCAACTCCAACAACAAGCAAATAATAATAACAACAACAACGGTACGAATACATCTTCAGGATTACAAATCGTAGTGCAACCACCACGTAAATTTGATGAAGAACATCAAGAGTTGGAAGTGAAGCATTCTCTATCAGACAACGAAGACGAAGAAACTATTGACGCTTTTGATCCAGCCGTAACAGTTAATTTACACATGCAGCACAATAATCGAACGTCACCGGGTTTGAGTGATACAGCAAGTGCGAATACTTTACAGAATTTCATACCCGACGTTCAGTTGTCAGAACTTAGGACACCAGATGGAGCGCAAGACATCGCGTATGCAAACAATCATCATCATCATATGAGCCGAGAAGCATATGATCACGTTCATCAACCAAAACGAATTAAATCCGAGTGCCATCCAAGCGATACTACCAGTACAGGGCATTTTCATTTATGCGCCAGAGAGGATGCGGATATGGAATTTTTTCGTAGCATATTACCCGATATCGCAAGCCTAACACCCCAACAAAAGCGAAAATTGAAAATAGGTATTCTTGAGCTAATCGACGACGTAGTCGATCGTTATCCCGCCGAATACAGCTCTCATGCGGCAACTCCTAGTCAAAATAATTCTGCCAAAACAAGACGTAATTCCTCACGAGAATGTCGAAAATAATATAAAAATAAAATTATTATTCATGCGTAAGTTTTATAGTTAATTTCTCACTATTAAACTTGACGGCGTTCCTCAGCGTAGATCGATCCAAAGCTTATCGTTACTTTTAACACTAATCATATTCAATTTGTAAATAAAACTCGTAAAAGTCGTTTAAAAAATTGTTGGTAATAGTTTTAATAGTTTAACACGATTTCAGATTTGTAAACATATTCGCAGACTTTAAACTTAAAAATTAAACATCGATAAATCGCTAAATGCATTAATAGTGGTGCGTGCGCGTACTCTAAGTTAAGACGATCCATTTCTCACTCAGTAAAAGTAGGCGCTAAATATACATGTACGTGTAGCCATTTACAAATGCGAAGTTGCGATCGTATCAGGATAAAATTTTTTAGATGGATCCTTTGCCATATCGAGCAATGTTTGGGCGGGTTTAAACGGAGCGCCATAAAGATCGGCGTACATTAACATTTTATCAACTAATCTGCGAGCGGTAAATTGATCCACAAAACGGAATGGACCGCCGGTAAAAGGAGGAAATCCTAGACCGAAAACAGCGCCGACGTCACCCTCCAAGGGATTATGCAAAATCTTCTCTTCGAGACAAAGCACAGCTTCGTTAATAAAACGTGAAACCATTCGCAAGGTCATATCTTCGGCGGTGTTTGCTCCTTTCGGAGTTAAAGCGTACTTTTGTTTTAATATTTCCAAGGCTTGCAAATTAACCGGACGAGCTCCCTTCGTTTTGCCTTCATATATAAAGATGCCTTTTCCAGATTTGCGGCCCAAGAATCCAGAAGTAACCATGTCTTGCATTACGGCCAAATTTCCTCCGCTAAAACGGTCACCGAACGCTTTAGCTAAATCTACTGCTATATGCGAGCCTACGTCGATTCCAACTTCGTCAGCTAAAGTGGCAGCTCCTACGGGGAAACCGAATTTCTTGGACATGGAATCAAGATCTTTGGGGTCTACGCCTTCTTGGAGAAGTCTACATATGTTAAACTTTAGTTAGCATAATTTTTTTTTTAATATTTACATATCACCTACCGTATGGCTTCAGACAACATAGTGGACAAAATTCTTGTTGTATAAAAACCAGGACCATCACCAACGATAATAACCACTTTGCCTTGTTTTAGGCCCATAGCAACGGCTGCAGCAATGGTGTCCTTCGATGTGCCTGGATGAGTTATGATTTCAAGTAGTTGCATTTTGTCTACAGGTGAAAAATAATGCATTCCTACGACTTTATCCGGTCGGGAGCTGCCAGCAGCTATTTTAGTAATAGGAATGGCACTGGTATTGGTGGCAATTATACAGTGCTTGGGCACAACTGCCTCCAATTCTTTTATTACGCCATGTTTTACCTTAATATCCTCAAAGACAGCTTCAATCACCATATCGGCATTCTTGAAATCATTGTAATCAAGAGTGGGCAGCAAATTAGCTAGAATTTGATCCCGTTCCAGAGCTGTAATACGCTTTCGTTTCACACTTGTTTCCAAACCGTTTTGAACTTGACCAATTCCACGAGCCAAGCCAGCATCCGTCGCGTCTTTCATTACAACTGAAACGCCTTTATCGACGCTAACTTGAACAATACCAGCACCTAAACATAAAATTTTATTTGATATTTTTTATCGTTTTTCTTTATACTATACACACTAACAGAAACGAATACAAATTTTTAACACTAACAGAATTGAATATAAAATTCTCACCCATTAGGCCAGCTCCTAGAACACCCAATGTCTTAACCTTATGTTGCGGTGCACCGAAACGATTCTTCTTGCATTCCGTTTGACCACGGAACAAAGCAATCAGACCCTTCGACTCGGGTGTGGCAGCCAGTTGACCGAATCCCTCTCGCTCAGCTGCATAACCAGCTTCGCTGCCTTTATCTACACCAGTTCGGATTACGTCAAGAATCTTGAGTGGCGCTGGGTACAAGCCATTAGTCATCTTCATCACTTGTTTCCGCGCCGTATCGAAAATTTTGTTTTTCACGAACTCTGTATCCATTACTAAAGATGTAACCTTATTAATCAATCCAGTCTTTTCGCGGTTAACCTTTATGTTATTTACAAGCACATATAGTATCGAAATTTTTAATTAGACTTCTGAAATCGTTTACTAACCTTAAGTTTTCCACTCGCAAGATCGTTCGCCGCTTGGATAGCAACCCTTTCTAAATATTCCATTGTGGTCTGATCGGCAGGCGCAAGACCAGGACCTAACGGATTCACTAATAAATCAACAACACCTGCCTTTTTGGCACGTTCGGCTGGCAGTTGTTTGCCAGTCAATTCCATATCAAGTGCTGTTGGTACACCTGCTAATTTTGGTAGGCGAACGGTACCACCTCCACCGGGTAGTAAACCTAACATTACTTCAGGAAGACCTAACTTTGTTTTCTTATCCTTGGTGGCAATACGGTAATGACATGCCATAGCCAATTCCAAACCGCCACCTAGACATACTCCATTAATCGCAGCGACAAAAGGCTTGCGACCGCGTTCCATACGTTCGAACATATATTGGCCTTCTTGGGATATTCGAGTAGCTTCTGCAGCTGTTTGACATTTTTCTAGCATGCTAATATCAGCGCCGGCTACAAAGCAGCCAGGCTTGGCAGATATAAGTACGGCCGATTTAACCTGTGGATTTGTTTCCACCTCTTTAAGTATGTCTTCAAACTCGCGCATTACTGCATCGCCTAAAGAGTTCACTTTAGCTCCCGGAGAATCTAATGTAATGACCATAACATCACCCACGATTTTGGTGCGAATGTGTTTCTCAGGCGCAGCAGACATCAGGCGTACATTTTGCATAAAAACTAAATGAGAGAAGAAAGAAACTTTCATCAAAACACAGAGAAGAGAAAAATGATAATCACTAAAAAAATCATAATCTATTAAAAATGTCTAAAACGAAAAACACACCGGCATCGCATCTACAGACAGTGCAAAGTACAAAGTCCAACTACATGTTCTTCTTCGATTCTTGCACTAAGATTTTTTAAAGAAATTAACAAAATTATTTATAAAAATTTATATTTTATAAAGTATCTTGCCTCTTTTACATCCATTTTGGTGGACGAAATGCCTTCTAGGTAATTGACCTATAACACTTAGGAAACGTACGGCTGACATCTTTATTACAATATTGTTTCTGCTAATAAAAATTGTTATTTAAAATTTTCTCGAAATTATATTGAAAAATTATTTAGTTTCTGCTTTTCTTCGCGAACTAAAAACACCCCTTCATTTGCAACAACAAAAGTTATTTAAAAGCTAAGAGTATGAAAACGAATTAACACAGCGAAACCCAAAAATAAAAAAATAAAGCAATTATTGACCAATCCAAGATCCGACTTGTTGCATTCATTCCAAAAGTTGACAAAACAAGTCCTACAATTTCCAACAAACGTATTCTTGATGGGTTGAGGTGTTGCCACACCTTAGTACATTTTTCGATGACAGTGATGCTTTGCTAATAGTTAACAACACAGTAAAAATGAACTTATTGGCATTGAATATTGAAAAACTTATATGTCTCGTAAATGTACACGACAGACAATAGCCAGACGGACAGTCATCGATTAGCATTTGATACTCCGCAAGAATGTATATATATTTTGTAAAGTGTTTGATGCTTCCTTCTGGGCGTTGCAAACTTTTTGAAGAGATAAATAAACCCCACACCCTTCGGTGATGGGTATAAGAAAAATTCTCCTGGCCGCAAAAACGGAAACATCAACTTCAAATTTGGCCGTAACATTGAAAGTTCTCTTACGCTTGGCTGGTTTCAAAAATGGGCCACATCGTTAGAACGACATAAGCTGCTTTTCAAAACGAATAAAAGATTGGTGTTTTGTTTATTACTCAAACTATAGCCAATAAATGTACAAATATTTGGACGCATATTCTATGGTCGATGCTGTAGCGTCTGTAGAAAAATGGAAAAAACTTACTAAGCCTAGCCAATATTATAAGATATTAAAATTTAATTTTTCTCAATAACTTTATAAGGCGCAGAAACAAGTTTCAAAAACCCCGTAAAAACTCTTGGACAATTTCAAATAGTGGAATACATCTAAACTAGTCCATCTGTTCGACTGTCCATCTGTGTGTCTGTCCAAGTGTGTAGTATTTGTGGTAAGCATTCTTCAGGTAGTGAAAATGAAGACATCCAAGAATCCCCTTACAAATCCGATTATCCAATGCGACAATAACTTTTACTTTGAAAATAGAAAAAATCAGCCGCGTCTGCTCTATATTATAGAGCATGAAAATTTAGTTCTTTTACCTTTTTTGCCTTTTTTAGGATAACGGTGAGGGGCATAAAAGATTCGGTCAGGACCAAATATAATTTTTTACTTGTTCTTTTTAAAATCGTTTCCTAAAAAGGTTGGGTTGAAAAAAAATGTCGCATTTCATTTCATGTACTAAAAGTTTCGTACCTGTTCGACAGTGTTTATGTTACAGTAATCTTGCGAGATATCTCTATCTCTACAAAATCGCGATAGTTTAGTAAGACTGAATATTCCGATATTGTGTAGTTCATATATAGCCCAAGCAAAGTCCATATACACACTAATATTTTGCATTTTCGGTACAGTGTACGAAACGAATCGACTCAAACCGCATAACTTTTGCTATAACTTCACTTCTCTGTGATTATTACGTCGTCTAAAAGAGAAATATTTGCTCTTCTTCAGATTTGCTCTCTTAATACAAGCAAAAAGGTATCCTCCGTATAACACGGCGCTTGTAAAACATTGTCTCTTTCTAACACGATGCAAAATTTGCGGCAGTTATTGTATGACTTCAAAAAAGCACGCGATTTTAAAAAGTCGAATACCGAGTATACAACTACATCAGATCACTTTTGTAATAATGGTGAAGTGACTCGTGAAGAGGACTTTCAATTAACTTTCAGAAAAGAAAAAATTAGCTGTAATTTTTGAAGAAAATTAATTTTGTGATTGCAATTATTATTTTTTGAATATATTCTTAATATTTATATTGCCTCATAAGGTTGACTTTCATATATGTTTTTTTAACTTCTCTTCTCGTTTATATGTAAACTGGGAATAAAGTATCAGTTATCATAAAATTTTGCATTGTAAGACTTGCTTTCAATACAGCAGAGTACATGTGGCATTGAGGTGCATTATTTCGAGGTATGGTGTAACACGATACGCATAACCTTGATTCTTACCATAACTATGTTTAAGGTCTGTTATTCTATATTATTATATCATAGTAGGAATTAACCGCGTTATACTAGAGATACCCGTATATTTTGTATTGTCGGCAGAGGAGCGATGAGAAAATGATGGCAAAGAAATCCGAACACATATAGCAAGTTTTGTACGTTTTAAGCGGTATTTTACAGCGCTTATATTATGTCAGACGAGGATAGTACGTTTTTATGAGGCCCTTCTTGTACGTAATTTTATAACGTTGAATTTGTTTGCATTGTTGTTGCATTAAAAGTTAGAAGGGCCAAGAGCTTTTTTGCCTTTCTATTTATCCAACAAAAGATGCTGAATGAAAGTCGTGCTCGTGCTCAGTCTTAAGATGTCATTACCTGCTACGTTAGTGAACGTTAAGTGAAATAGTGAGAAAGTCAAACTACACTGAAATTAAAAGATTTTATTTAAAAAAAAAATAAAACTAAGAAAAACTTTAATGATTTGTACATTCATATATGTGCATAACTTTTAAATAGTATTCGTTAAAAAGCGTTGAAATGAAGTTGAATTGTTTTAAATAAAGTAACATTTCTTCGCAATTCTTTTTTTTTTCATTTTTTTTTTTTTTATTATTAATACTGTGCGACATAGAGTAGTATGTACATAAACGTATGTATATACTCGTATAAGAGAATACATATATATCTTAACACGTTAATGCAATCAACCATTAACACTATACGTTTCGAATACTTTGAAAAGCAACGACAGCATTCACTGCCTAATATGTTTTGATAGTATTTAATTTCTATTCGATGCTCATCGTCATCTCGCCTTGACAGCAAATGAATACAAGACATATGAAGCTAAAAAAATTTATCCTGTAAATTGAATAAACATTTCATTTTGTTCTATCCCTCTCTCTCTCTCTTTATCTTTCTCTCCTTTTCTTTCTCGATAAATATTTTATAATCAATTAATGAGTCGAACAAGCGTAAGACTAACTAACTGACCGACCAGCTTGTTCGACAAATATTAGGCTGCAGACAAAAAAGCATATATATGTACACATGAATGTTCATATCGCCATGAAAACGTTGAAACGTTGACAAATGTGTTGCTAACGAGTTTCTACAAAAAAAAAAAAAAAAAAAAAAAAAAGAAAACAGAAAAAAATCTAAAGTAACTTTTTTACTTATTACTTACAGTTAAACATATATAAGCATAATCGTACACAAGCTATTCATCTCCCCATTTACACTGTGACTCGTACTTCCGGGAAATGAGAAATTATCCTTAGAAAAGTAAGGCAACACACACGTACACAAGCAGTATGTGTACGTTGCCGATAGTGAATATGAATAAAAACAAAAACAATGTTCCTTTATAATATATAAACAAGTATATTACGACTATAAGTGTGTTTATATACATACATTTATATATATATATGCATGTGTATATATGCCTTTAACGGGGGAAAGTATTTTTGGAAACATTAATGCTGAAAAAATGTTAAATTAAAAGTCCTTATTTCATTCTTTCTCGATGCCTTCCCTGCTTTTGTACCTATTGTAGTTGCTGTTGTTGTTACACTTGTTGTTGTTGTCGTTATTGTAGTTGCCTTAATAGCTTAATTAATGTCAGGCTTTATAAAAATTTAAGTGCAATTAAACCATTAAACGACAAGAACAATGTAAAAAAAAATCTTTTTTTTTCTTTTTTTTGTTGTTGTTGTTGTAATCATACACACATGTACTTGTTTGTAGAGTTAATAGAATAAAAGAACAAAGAGATAAATACGCGCGAGAGCAAATTATTTCTCATCTGTAAAATTATTCTAAACTAAACTAAAGTAAACAACAAATCACTGTTTTGTTTGCATGGCGAGAGAGAAAGGTCGGAAACGTCAGAGAGAGGAGAGATTTCAACGTAAATGTTATCTTAGCCAACAATTGTTGCTGTGCTATTCATTGGTTCTAAGTAAATTTTAGCTTTATCATCGTATGTTATGTTACATTACCGCATGAAATATATGCAGGATGGATGGAGAAAACCGTATAATACTAAACGTCGGTGGCATAAGGTAATTGTGATAAATTAAAGTACGAAATTTTATAAATATATTACATAGCACTATTAGCTTCCGGTGTAAATGTGACGGCTAATCTGAAAGTTTAATAGTTCGTCATAACTCAGTTATCAAAGGGTCGAAGCGCTTTCATGCAGATTCATTTTCAGCTCATTGGCGATATTCAGAAGTAAATTCCTCTACGCTTTAATGTCGAGACCACACTTCATACAAATGTTTATTATTACGCGTGTTCCAAGTACGCACAATTTGATTGGAAAGAAATTAAATCTTAAGACAAATTTTGAAAAGATGCTATCAGACCTGAAAGCGTTGCGATTATGCACAATTTTTTTAATTAACTTCGGCAGACGTCATTTATATTCTTGGTTACCCTATATCATTGATATTTATCTAGAAGACGTAAATAAGGTTTACTTATGTTTGAATATCAACGAATGTTTAAACACTCTTTGTTGTTGTTTCGCAAATTTACAACATGAGTGCCATAAGCAGAACTATGCGGAACGAAAGGTTTATCGAAGTTCGCTGTACTTTAACGGTCACCGTAGATATTAAGAGCTCTATAGGCACTGTAGATATTCAGGGCCACGGAATAGAGTATGCGGACAGAATTTTATTATCTAAAAGAATTGTTTTCTTTGAAATTTCGTGCTCTGTTCCAAGAGACTTGGGATATTAAAAGGATCCGTTGCGGTAAATTGCACCTCATTGACTATTGACCTATTAATTTCACAGTTGTCTAATGGAATCTTTGGAAAGTGCTTATGTACATTTAAAATTATTTCCAAATAGAAAATGTTATGTAGTTTCATTAGACATGAGGCCAAAAGCGATTCCAAAAAATTCAGTGCTTCCGCCATATTAGGTATTCGGGAAGGAGGTTTTTCTTTGTTCTGATTATGAATTTGGCTACTGAATTAAGCAGCTTCTGCTCACTTTCTCAATTACTTCCCCAAACCTAAAGGGTAAAGCATGTGGTTCTGTCGTTAATGAATTCAGCCAGAGGGGAGAACAATTATTTGATCACACAAGTATAATTTTATAGTCCCAATAAATTTCGTTTTCATATCTGTTAACAGATCATTCATAGAGAGATTAGCAAAGATCTTATTTTCATAGTTGCACCGGAAGTTTGTATCGAATGTATATCCACACGATGTAGTGAATGGCGCATGTGCAATCATCTACGTATCACACAGTCATATCTCTGTGTCTGTCTGCTAGTAGAAGTCGGCGCTTTGCCTGTGCTCAAACGAGATTGAAAAACAGCCTCTTTCGCGAATGGGTTCGCCAAAGATCAACAGAAACGCCATCATTTGTATTTTTTTCTCTCAATTATGGCTTCAATACTTTACTCGCATCTTAAAGTTTAGTTTTTAATTTTAATATTTTTAAATTCTTACGTCAAGTTCGAGAATGAGACCGGCATGACGATAATTGATCGCAGCAAAAAAACATATACAATGATTTATAAATGCAAATGCATATATGAAAAAATAATTTGTTCTTTGTACAATTATTTATGATATGACATTATATGTAACAAATAAAAACGTTACAATCGGTCAAGGCTGACCATTGAATATCTTACACAAGTTCGCTTAATATAAAATTGTTTTTTGTCGTGGTCATAATTTATCACAATACTTACCTTACATATAATGAGTTATTCCAAATGGAGCATTACAAAAATATATGGAGCGAAGCATAATATTGATTGAGCATAAATATACATGGATAGCAATCAGACAGATGGACAGATGGACAGATCGGACAGATGGGACAGTCAAACTGACTCAGATCGGAATCAGATGATTCTGATTGACTCAGAGGATGAATCGATTGAAACAATAAAAATCACAAGCTTTTCCTCCTCGTGTTGCATTCATACACACAAATTTTCTACAACATTGTCACGAGTGGTGCAAGAATGATATGAAACATATACGAATACCTATTCGATGACCGTCGAGGTCAATTAAGCTCTTTATTTGCTTAAAGAAGTCCCTACAGCAATCTGAAAATAAAAAGAGTTCTTTAACAATGTTTTCGAAAGGGAAGGAAATATCATAGAGTAGAGTGTATACGAGGAGGTTACTAAGCATAAAAAAAGATTACTTTTGGAAAATGTGAAAAATTTTACAACACTGAAGGCATTCTCTCGAGACATCTTTAACATAATAAACTCCATGGGGAGTGAATGCCTATAGCTAGTAAAGTTCGCAAAGTTTTATTCCTAGAATATTGATTTTTGTGTGATTGATGAGAGTCTTTGAGTGAAAAGGTTCAATTTCGAGCAAAAAAATAATAATAAAAAGTATTTAAATAATTAAGTTAATTTATCGAAAATAAGAAATTCGTTTCTCTTAAAAAAATACATTAAAATCTATATCGACAGATATGTGGTTTTTATTGAACTATGCAATTGAAGCCCATATGAAAAGAGGATATTGGATGATTTTTACACTATTACTTACTCTAATATTGGATTTAAATTTATTATATATTGGATATTAAGTTACCATTAGCTTTCCACTCAAATGGAACATAGCTTTTTTTTTAATTTGACGAATTATTTGAGCAAATATGAATGTAATTTAATTTAACCGAAACTTGAAGATTGGATAAGTTACTAACTAATGTAACCTAATTTAACCGAAATTCGAAAATTAGACAAGTTACTGACATATGAACAAGTAAAGAAAATGGCGACCAAATTTATTATATACAGCGAAGCGGTGTTAACCAAAAACTCGCGTGTTAAAAGCGACCAAATGTAAATGTTGCCCAGTATGGATTAGAGCGACTTTGCTTTCATTTTATGCTGAATTCCAATCTATTAGGTGTATAAATAAATTTTGCTACTTTTTTCTTGAAATTCAACTCTGTTTAAAATATACTTTTTACAAAGCTTAATATTCGAAATATTCACCATCGTAATCCATTGTCTTTTGCCACTTGCCGTATAGCTTAGGGTTGCCCCCGCCCCCCTCCCCCCCCGCCGTTTTGAAATGCTGATCTGCTAAGTACGACTGCATCACTCTGAAGCAGTGGCAATAGGAAGAAGACGGGGACAGATAGAGGAGAATGTGCCGCAACCGGGATAAGTTCCTAGCGCGAGAAGGAGATCCCCTCCTTGGCTTGTGTCTGATGGAGACAGACGTACGTACGCCTATTTCGTCGTTTTCATAACGAACAATATTCTCACAAACTGTTCTGCTGCTTATTGCACTTTCCATATCTTCGGCCACAGTCTTTTTTAGTTTAAAACGGAGTAACCTGCAACGGCATCCATCTCTTTGCACCTATATACACAGAACGACAGCTTGTCAAGAATTGACACTTATATCATACAAACACCGATACATCTAAGCTATCTATGCCTCGGAAAATTTAAAGGCGTCAGATCAATAAGTGGCAGAACTTAGTTAGTGCACTTAATATTAGTTGTAGGCAAAAATGCTGTAATTGTTTTAAACCGTCAACTACTTCGACAGCAAATAGATTGCCTTATAAATTTGTGGAGAGTGCATAAAAAGATTAAGAAAATTCAATCAAGTATGCATATGAATGGTTGATTGTAAGCAATAAGGCAAAAGGCTTTAGCAGAAGAAATTTTAATTTTTCGGAAAAATGTTCATTTTTTTTTATAATTATTTACTGCTTGTTTTTATTCCGGATACATTATCTTAACTTCCGTTAACATTGAGGATGTTCACTCTATAGGAAATGGAAAATTATTTTTGTAATTTTGGAGCCTAATGACCTGAGTACGCTCTGTAAGGTGTTCCATTTAAGTTTAATGTTTTCTCTCATTTCTTAAACGGTAACCGAAAAGAAAGAAAAACAGATGTGAATTTCTGCACCCTTCACCTGCAACCGCGATTAAGCTAAACTGTTCTCAACGAGCACCTACAGCAAACACATATAAGTAATGCAAATGTATGCGATTAACTAAGAGACTTACTTGTATATATATATATATATATATATACACAAATATAGATATGTATGTACATATATATATATAGGTATACGTATGTATATAGGTATCTTTATAGAGATACACACGTATTTATGAAACGCCAAAAAAGCAAATATTGACTCTGGCTAATCGCCCATAGCAAACTAAGAAACCCAAGTGTGTCTGCCTGATGATTCGTAAACTATGCCTGCCGTCTCTCTTGCTTTCATACCGATGGATGAATGCATACTAAATTCATCATAACGTTGACACAAATCGGAACTATTTGTCTATCATCGCGTACATTATATTCATCAAGTTTCAAAGGTACAATAGGTGTCAACATGTTTTTATTATTAATTTATAAAATCTAGCAGTTATTGAGTTGAAATTTTCTCTGCAATATTGAAACCGGCCTCATCTCACATGTGTAACTTAAGTGATAACTTTCCAATGTTCTCCAAAGAGATATATTTTGTTTCTTTTCTACTTTTATTTTATTTTTGTTTTTTTTTTTACTTTTAGTAGCTGGCTGACGCGCTTACGGCAAAGTGTGTTATGTGAAGAGTGCACTTAATATTGTTTATGATAGCTGTTACATACGTGCTTATAAATGATTAAAAAGTTAGCATTACTCTCATATATGTAAAACAGCGCAAACATCAAACTGTCGACGGCATAAAATTGACTCGACTGTATATATGACGGTTCAGAATAAAAAAAAAAGAAATGAAACTGAAACAGAAACAAACACACGAAAAAAAAAAAGAAAGAGGAAAAGGAAAAAAGACAAAAGAACCCTATATGAGTGACATAGAAATGAACAAAAACAAAACATCGCCATCTGAATAGAACTGAACATGAATAGCAAACAGATACATAAGTGTGCGAAAGCTGTATAGCACTATGTGTAGTATGTTTACGAGTGATTTTGTGTCAGCATAAACTTTAGATAAGAGTAACAAATATTCTACGATTTGTCCCTATGTGAACTTTCTTTTAAATGCAGAAGACATTCCAAGCATGCGACTAATGTAGTAATTCTCTTTGTGCACAGAGACAATAACAACAACATGAAGGCGTCAATCCCAAGATACTTCGGTATATAACGATGCAAACAGTTAGCACAGGTGACTAAGGGAAGAACACCTTTTCTTAGACGCGTAGACATGTATATTTTTGTATATATATATATATATAGATATATATATATATATATATGTGTGTATATATATACATATTTATGCATATATAAGTATGTATATATAATTATATATTTATATATATTTAAATGTGTGTACACAATTATTTAATCTGTGTATGCATATGCACGTTGCATTAGTATGTAATATGTCGTTTCTATACGTATGGCAATTTGCACATTTGCACGTAAACATATGCATTAACAGGCAATAATTTCTTATGTACACCAAAATATATATTCCTATGTCGATATAAAATTGTCTCTCTATCCACTCAACTGGTATATAAACCAAGTGATGTGTAAGTAGGTGTGAAAAAAATATTGCAATCAGGCAATATCAATTTTAAGTACCCTGCGCCACATTGCCTTTTACTATTTTTTATGCATTTTCAATAATTATATTGTTTTTCCATGTAAAGGCATGGCAGCCTTAAAACGCGACGAACTTAAGACGTAAACTGAATGGATCCAAATTTTGCAAACTTTAAACATTTTATCAATGGTCTAATTATTCTTCCCCCAATTTCCCCATGAAGTACAACAAATTAAATTTCTTTTGCCGTATAAAGACTTACTTTTCATGACCATCCTTATTGGGTCCAAAATGTAGATCCACCTGATTGCTATTTGCTATAATCCGTATATTATGTCCATTTAATTTTGTGAGCCAATTTTCATCATAACCTATTAAAAACGAAACCTTGCTAGTTACTTTTCTGTGGGAGGGGACTCAAAAAATTGTCCAACGCAATCTAAATTTTTTACATCAAATTAATATGAAATACTAGTAGTAATACTTAGTGATTTTGTCATATAATTAATTTTTGAAAATAAAGCATTATGTGGGAAGTGGTCGTGAAAGTAATGCGATCTAATTCATTTTCAATAGCATAAGTGCTGGATACAAAACTTGACAGTGCATCAAATTTCGCTAAAATATTTCAAAAACTACGACTTGTAAGCTGAAGGAAAAGACAAATGGATAGACGTTAAACGGACAGACCGACAGCCAAATTGAAATTGACTCACACAATGATGCTGAACCGATTGTTATATTAAAAAATAGGTCTATCATAAGTCTTAAAGAGTGCTACACACATCCGGACTACTTTTCGGACCACGTAAGCTTATGTTTTGGTCATGCTTCGTTCCTTCACATGAAAACAAGGAATAGCTTATTATTATATCACGAAAATAAACGATGAAATGTACTCCTTGTATTGGCTATTTAATCATCGTTTTTATTCAATTTTAATACTTTCACGTACCTAAACAATATCTTAGCTTATATTCATTCTAACTTTTTCTATCTCTCTTCTAGTAAAAGAGAGAAAGGTAAAAAGTTGCAGAGATGGACGAGAATATTTCGTAAAGAAGTAAGCTTTGATAGCGTGATTTTACAATGATATAGAACTTGTATTAAAAAAAATTTTTTTTCTGCAGTTTTATAGTTTAAAGTACATATTTTTTCTACATTATTTTCATGGCTTTTCTCATTTCTTTCTCATCGTCATCGTATGACGCGAATTAGGGACATACTCCGAGTGATTGTTCACAGCGCCAAAAAAAAAAATTTTTTGAGGAAAAATGCAATTCATGGCAATTCAAAGAATTTTTCCTCTGAAAAAAAAGAAATAGTTCCCGACTTACAGGGCTATTAAAAAATAAAAAAAATTCTCTAGCATTGAGCAGTTCTCGCTACGCGAATTGAATTTAAGTGGCATTTTTAGATAGCATGCGACTCACCTAAGTATAGCAAATTAGTGTACAAGACAATCAGACCTAATGGTAAGCATAGGCAAACAGAAAAACAAAAAAAAAAAAAAAAGAAATTCAAATTAAACCCCTTGTCTTCTTGATCTGAACGGATATGTCTACTCTTGTCTGCATGCATATACACCAAATTACTTTCATAAGAGAATTGTAAAATTGAGTTTGAAATTGAAAAGTCTGCGTATAATTATCCGACGGGCAAAATTTGAAGCAAGAAGAAATCAGGAAGCATTGATATGATCCGTTCGGCATACATCCCCTACGATTTTCTAATGTTATGAAACTAGACAGCTTTTAACAATTATTTGATATTTGATCTAACTCTTCTCCAGATATGAAACCTATAAAGCAACACTTAAAAAGATACCTGCAACTAGATTGTCACGTCTCACCGAAGCACTGGCCAATTATGATCCAGTTCTTAATGAATATTTTTTTGATCGACATCCCGGTGTCTTCACGCAAATACTTAATTATTATAGGTGAATTCATATCGTGTGTGACATGTCTCCTTAAATTTATAACATTGTGAATGAAATTTTTTTAGAACTGGAAAATTACATTATCCTACCGATGTTTGTGGTCCTCTGTTTGAGGAAGAGCTCGAGTTTTGGGGTTTGGATTCAAATCAAGTAGAACCATGCTGTTGGTCTACCTATAGCATACACCGTGACACACAGGTAAATAAGTAATTAAATGAAACAATGTGTACGTGAACGACTGTTTTATAGAATACATTAGCGATTCTGGATAAGTTGGATATTGAGAATGAGAAGCCGTCGGAAGAGCAAGTAGCCCGCTTATTTGGTTTCGAAGATTCATTGCACAAAGGTCAACTAAACTGTTGGCAACGTATAAAGCCAAAAATTTGGGCTCTATTCGATGAACCGTCCAGTTCAACAGGAGCCAAAGTGAATTTACTTTGAAATAATGTTCATATCCCATGTCTTGTTAATGTTTCGTGAATTTTGTAGATTGTAGCCAGTATGTCTGTGTTCTTCATTTTTATTTCTGTGATATCATTCTGCCTGAAAACCCATCCGGGTTTTCGAGTAGATTTTCCCAGCTCACCCGCCTTCATCGTTAGTACCACCGTCGCTACCGAAACGAATACACCGCTAACCACCTCTGAGGTTGCATCCATTCCTAACCAAAGTCACCATTTGCCGGCCAATTTAAATATTTCCACTTACCGTGCGCTCGTGAAGGCATATCACAATGAGACCATTTTGCCTTCTGCATTCAAACCCATCAATGTTACACGGACGGCGTCCGAAAATGTTAACTCTAGCCTTGCAAAACCGATTGCTGCACTCTCTTTGGAGAAATTTTTGAAATTAGAAAGAATTAAACGCTCTCCCAGCGTAGTTAACGAAATTCAGAATTACAATGTAACCGAGGCACCCTCTCATGGTTGGTTGGATTCTATTGGTCAACCACATCAGGCATTTTTTTACGTAGAGCTGGTGTGCAACGTATGGTTCTTCTTCGAGGTTATTGTACGGTTTATCGTAAGTATATATATATATAATGTCAGTAGCTGCAGAAATCTATTTCTATTCGCTATGCATTTTTTACATTACAGGTTTCACCAAATATCTGGCAATTTGTTAAATCGCCTGTAAATATCATAGATTTTGTCGCTACGCTCAGCTTCTATACGGATGTAATGCAACGCATGGGCGAACATACAGGGCTACTGGAAGCTTTTTCGATCGTACGAATTATGCGTTTATTTAAGCTAACTCGCCATTCTCCCGGCTTACGTATACTAATCCATACTTTCAAAGCATCCGCCAAAGAATTGACGTTGCTTGTGTTTTTCTTAGTTCTTGGAATTGTTTTCTTTGCCAGTCTAGCTTACTATGCCGAGAAGCTACAGGTATTCACCTTTTCAATTTCATTGATTAAATAACAAAATTATGGCATATAGAATATTCTTCGTATTAAAAAATCGATAAACAAGCAGAGCGAAACAAGAAATAAAGCATGCAACACATAATTCATTCATTCATTGCTGTTATCCTTAAATGCTTTAAAATCACATTTAAAGCATGGAAACTAACTAACTTCTCATCCTATCTAAATTGTATTTTTGTTTTTAGGACAATCCCGAGAATCAATTCAAGAGTATACCATTGGGGTTGTGGTGGGCTATTGTGACAATGACTACCGTTGGCTATGGTGACGTGGCCCCTAAAACGTATCCTGGCATGTTTGTGGGAGCCCTTTGTGCTTTGGCCGGTGTACTGACAATCGCTTTACCCGTACCTGTTATTGTAAGCAATTTTTCGATGTTCTATTCACACACACAGGTAAATTGGCAAGAATGCCTTTGACTGCATACCTACGTATATATGAATAAACATGCATATGTAAACATAAGTGTAACTAATTGGTATATATATATATATATATATATACGTATGTATTATAATTAAAATCTATGACATGTTTTTACGTATGTATGCAAAATTGTTTATATGGCCCTATAATCAATTAATGACTAATACAAATTGTAGGCCCGCTCAAAACTACCAAAACAACGTCGCCGTGTCTTACCAGTAGAGCAGCCGAGACGTAAGCGTGAACAATTGCCACAGCCAAGAGGTCGAACTAATGCTGTAAAGCAGACCTCACTTGGTGTAAATGTTCTCGCCCCTGGGCCGACGCAGCCACCGACGTTATTGAAAGAAGCTTTTACTCCGGCAAAAATCGGTAAATATTCATCCACTGCTCACTTGGAATTTAATGTAATCTTCATTTTCATTAAAAATTTAATGAAATGCCCGTAAGTGGATGTCTGTATTTATATGCATAAAAGTAGATTAAAAGCACAGTCTATGTTGTTCTTGTATATAAATTTGCGTGTATGTGTGCGCGTTTGCGGTTTGTTATTTCCTTTTTGTATCACGTTTTCTTTCTTGCGAGGTTATTGTGCTACTCTCACAAGTTTCCTTATGTTTCGACTTATGTGTATATATTATATATAATATAGAAAGTCATACAGAGAGCATGAATGGCGTAAATGTTGTTGGTGTTAGTGTAGAAAGGCCGCAACTAATATTGCCCGCCATTGTAAAGAATCATCATACAAGATCTTGCGAAACAACGATATCAATACAAACATCTCCTATGATGGGTTTTAAAGTGGATCCAATTATCGTAAGCAGTAAGTAAAGTCATACATAACCTTCACGGTCATGTACATAACGTCCCTCTCGTGTACATAAACTAAACACCCATATTCTTTATCTAGTTATACACATATATGCCTCGCACTCATTTACATTGCAGCACCATTAGTCCTTTGTAAAAATTGTTTCCATTATTAGATGTGACAATCATTTAGTTGTTCGCTTACACAGTAGTTTAATTCAAAAAAAATTTCTAACTTAGCCGATTACTTGACAGTACCAGCTATACATAACCTAGAGCCACGTGCCGCTACTACAGGTCATGATTGTATGCTTCCTCTACAACCGCAACTTCTTGTTCCGCTTGGTACGATATTAAAAAATTTTCTATTCATTCTTTTATATACAACGCAATAACTTGCGAATAACTTTTTGAATAGAAAATAAAAATCAACAAACCATTGCGGAGCGAAAAGATGGTACAACATCAACTATAAGATTATATGACTATAAGAAATCGCCACAGCCTACTAGACCTTTGCATTTAGGGCATCATCATCGCTCTAACATAAGATCAATGTTGAATGTGCCACCCACATTGAGTGTAGCAAACACGCAAATGCCAGGACATCTCGACAACTACTCAAGCAATGAAGATAAATTGCAAGAAAATGAACAAATATTCAAGATTCATGGCAACAATAGTGATATGGCCTCTAACGGTTTGACTGAAAACAACTCTAATTTACAACAACCGCAAACACTGCCTCACCAACATCACCACCTACAGCAACAGCAAATTATAAATCAGCTATGCTTTCACTATCCTCTACAACCCAAGGTAACATTATTAGACGATGGCGTTGATACCTGTGAAGATTGCGATGAATACGAGGAGACAGCGTCGACCAGTCACTGTGATGAGTTAAATATTTGTAGTGACGGTGAGGTGAACCGCAATAATGTCACCACAACCATCACCATTACGACCACGACTACTGCTACTGCTACTACTACTACTACCATTACTACTACTACTACTACCAACAGCTCAGCTTTTATATTAACCAGCAACGGTGATAGAAATTGCGGCAACCGTTTATATTCATGTAAAATGGATCTGAAATAATGAATTGGTACAATTTTTTTTTTTTTCTTTTTTTTTAAATAATCGCACACCAAATATACACTACAGAGATTAGAGAGTACAATTTTCAAGCAACACACACAGATACCAAAGTTTATATTCATTATTAATAGTTGCTGAGAAAAAAAAGTAACCCATAAGAGAGAGAAGATAGTTACCGTTGCCGTTGCCGTTGCCCATGTTTATGTTAATAAGGGGAGTTTTGGTTTAGATTTTAAATTAGTTTTCGCCTTTTTTTTTTTAATGGCACAAGCATCGGCAAATCAATTTATATAAATCTTGTCATTTTATTTTCAACGCCTGCAAGTACGTATTCGAGATGACACAACGTGCCTGCATTTTGTGGTATGAAACGTAAAGAAATGGAAGATCTCCTGTTCTGACGCAGTTGAGATGACTCATCTAATATAATCCCTGTAAATAAGGAAAGTGCGTTCACAT